ACATGAAGCTGAGATGGATGCCTTGTATTAAGGGACATTACACATGTACATACTTTTTAATCAGTGTTTAATCATTGTATATGTTCCTATTACCCAGTAGTGTTTCAGATTTTTTTCATAGTATTTTTTGGCTAAAGACATTGCCAGTTTTTCCTTCCCACTTATGCCTTTTAGGAAAACGATTTCTTCTTTCTCTATATCATCTCGAATTGAACCAAGAATGGTATAAATTGTTGTTCAAACATTTTAAAATATTTATAGAAGTTATCTTAATGCGAGGACATTTTCTGAATAATGTGCAGGGCTCTCTGTATACAAGACATAAAAACTTTCCTTCACTGACTCATAACACCCAGTGACCAGACTTGACATATGTGGGAAGAGCGAATATGATATTGTCATGAATCAAGTGCTATCAAATTTTTTTTGATAGAAAACATCTTGAGGAAATTTGTTGATTTATTTTGACTATGATGATGCTGTGATGATGGGAAATTTTACTACATATATATATATTCAGTATATATATACATATATATATACAGTATATATAGATATATACAGTATATATATACAGTATATATATATATATATATATATATATATATATATATATATATACACTGTATATGAAACATGTAGGCTGCCGGGACCTTACTTTTGACGAATAGTGCCAACTAATTTTCACAAAAACGTGATGCAATAATGACAATAGTGACTTTATTATTATTGTTTATTTTCGGTAAATATTTTAGCTGCTTCAAATTTCTTTCCCATTCTTTCTTCCTTTGCTTTTTCCGTATTTTTTTTTGTGTTAAATTTCATTTATTTTATTACAAACATGTATGAATAATATATATATATATATATTTATATACTGTAATCTAGAGCTATTGGCCTGTATTTAATATACTTCAATATTCTTGCTTTATTTAAGTACCGGTATTACCAAATATTATAAACATTAACGATTACATTATTTCATATATATTTTTTAAAGTAAATATCTAAACTTTAACTTTAATTATAAACTCTGAAAGTAAATTTACGTAAATTAGATCAATAAAAATTGTCATAGAAGTAATCCTTATGATCTATTCATTAACAACCGAAAGGTCCACTAATTAATCTCAGATAAGAAAGTATAATACATACTCCAAGTATTGAAATACACGTCATCGTGTTGGGATTCAATATCGACATTAATTATGTAATCATTCCTGATGATTATACTTTTTTAACAATAACAACATTTCCAATTTTATAATATTAAAACTTTATTATAGCCGGAGTTAGTTTAGACATAGGAAAACCTTGCAAAAAAGGTACATCAAAAGACTTTCTATGAATGGATGGAAGCACAAACTCCTTTAGACCAAAACCAGTGCGTTACGATTTTTCTTCGTTGTGGTCAGGTGTGACCACAAAGGCAACCATATATCGTTATCGGTATCGTTATCGGTGTAGTAGGTGTCACCTGGCCTTAAGTTATAAAAGATAAAACCTAGGCCTACGTGAACATGATCATGCAAATTAACACGATTAAAACATAGTTGTTAATTGAGCATTGTGTGAATTACCTGTGGCATCTATTGATATAGTAAATTCACATTTATTTGGGTTATGTTCAACAGCTAGCCCGCCTAGGCCTAGTTCAGCTAATCCTTGCTTCTGCTGGGATATAACCCGGCTGCTCGTGGCACTCATCCTTCTCAGCCCAGCTAAAAAGCACGGTCTACGTTGTTGGCCTAGGAAAATGCTAAAGGATTTGATCATAACAATCGTAGGTGTATACTGTACTAGCATGAAATACTAAAATTTTAGAACAACGCACTTAAAGCCCAACTGCATATACACTACAGTATTATATGTCCCAAAAGACAGTGCTTTTCCAATTCCACACGAGCGAAACATGGAGAGCGTAAACAAATCATGAAAGGTCATAAAATGACCTCCCAAAAACTTATAACAATTGAATATAAATGTTATCAAATAATAACAATTTACTAAATAAAAAAATCATAATAATACATTTTAGGTAACTAAACTTTTATAAAAATATAATTAGACATTTGAATACAAGCATATACAACAATAATCGTAAATATTTTTTTACGATTATTGTTGTATAGTTACAGAAGAAGACTACGGCAACATTTTGAAATGCCTGGGAGGAATTTGCCGCGGCGCTAAACAAGGTACTGTATCTAAATAACAACTCGCTGACTGTACTGTATAATTTTTAATTTACTATTCTGGTAAATAATGCTCATATTGTGGCTTGTGCTCAAACTATTTTTGAATACTTTCTGTCGCACGTGCATCTAGAGTACTAACTGGCCCGGCCAAACAAGAGACTAGCTAGCCTAGGGCCTCGGCCTAGCCTAGGCTAGGCCTCCTGGGCCTACTACTACTACTAGGCCTACTAGGCCTAGCCTAGGGCCGCTAGCCTAGGCTAGGCCTGGGCAATGCTAGACCCCTAACTTGGCTAGGCCTCTAGTCCTACTCTAGCCTAGGTAGGAAGGGACCTCCTAGGCTAGGCCTGGCCCTACTACTACTATCTAACTAACTAGGAATATACGTCGGCCTAGCTAGAAGCTGGGGCAGATAGCCTTGTAGGACTACTACTACTAGGCCTACAGTAGGATTTGGCGGTAGTGAGTACATAAAAGTCCACACCACCAGAAAATTGTGAGAATAATGGACCTCTCAGGCATGGATCCAGAGATTACCCTCACTATCGCAGAGATGTGATGTGCCCCAGAGTTGGGGGGGGGGGACATGAGTAGAGAACGTAATGTTTGCTTGTTCTGTGGTTTGAAAATTTTAGACGTGGAGTCTTGGGGACTTTCTGGTCAAAACGGCAATAAACCAAAACGGCAATAACTCAAAACGGCAATAACTCAAAACGGCAATGGCCAAAACGGCAAAAAGCCAAAATGGCAACACTATTTGACCAAAACAGCAATAAGTCAAAACGGCAAGACCAGAACGGCAATAGGCCTAAGTCAAAACGGCAATAAACCAAAACGGCAACCAATTATAAACATGAAAGTGTACACAATTAAATACTGTAAACAACAACAACAATAATAATAATAATAATAATAATAAAATGATAATAATACATACAAATTCAATGATAAAAAGATACGGGGAAACAATATAAAAGCAGTAAACATTTAAATAAATAAAACTTTCAAATACAGACAAAATCAGGCTGAACAATTTATATCATAAAAGTAAAAAACTTGCAATAATAATAATAATAATAGTAATAATAATAATAAATGAAAATTTAATCAAAGACAAAATGAAGCATTTAAATAATTTGTCTTAAATGTGTAATAAATTTAAAAAAAACTGTGATTAAACATCAAAAGTAGGAAAAAGAACCCGTTTCAATATTTGATTTCCCTGTCGGGACAATTTCAAAACGATTCAGAAAATTATGCAGCTAGTCTTGACATAATTAATGTTGAAATATTGAATCCCAACACGATGGCATACATTTCGATACTTGGATTATGTATTATACTGTCTTATCTGAGATTAATCAGTGGACCTTTCAGTATATTTCTTTAATTCTTTTTCCACTTCCAACGCTGTTAGATTTGAAATTCGCATACCATTCATGTCGTTGCTTTTCTTCCGATCCTGTATTGATTTTCAGTCTCTCAGTCTACGTGGTCATTTTTGACTTTTTTTTAGATGTATCAAAGTGTAAGTGTTAAGCTCTCGGTTTACAATTAAGCTACCCACTCCATAAAAAACCTGTTTTTTTTTTTTTTATAGCATTTATTATAACAATGAAATAATAATTCATTAATTAAAAAGTAATAATTAAAATAATAGCTTTTCACTTTAGTGTAATTTTCGAATAACAAAATATACAGTAATAAAATTATGCCTTTTAATAAGGTTATAAGAATCAGCGCACATCTTAATCCTCCCTGTGATTGATTTTTGATTAACCATACATTGTGACATAAATCAAAATAATTAAAAAATAAAACTCAACAGTGTACTCACTGTCTGCACCCCCTGCATCTGCCCCAGAGGAGGAACGACAAGGGCCTGCTGAGAGGCTGTCCTAGGCCTAATCTAGGCCTACTTCAAATATGCCCTGGCCTAGCTATAGTAATAGCCTCTTATAATTAGGCCTTTGAATTTTGCACCGTATATTCAAAGTGACTTTTAAGCACCAAGTCCATTGCCTCAACGAAAGATGTCTATGGGAACAAGTAAACAAGTACTGTAATTGCGCGGAGGATATCTAAAAATCTGCTGAAATTTGCATGCAAAAGCTCTAGGAAAATAGATGTGCAGAATTTTAATTTGCTCCATATATTTGCATTGGTTATATATTAAGATTTGTTCAAAGCCGAATTTTCAGATTTCACTATATTTTGCACTGCTATTTTCCAAGCAAATTTTCTGTGCAATTTTTACTTAGTGTTTATTATATCCCTGTGAAAACAAAGTACTTAAATTTTGGAATCCCATTTAAATCCTAGACTTAGGCATGTTTTCATTACAAAACTTTCGGATAATAAAAATGAAGAATTGGAATTACCCAAGACAATATTATCCCATAGCTCTTTTATACTTCAAAAATGATATTAAATGATTTGAATTATCGGTTGTTAATAAGTTCCAAAGTTAACCTCTATTTAAAGCTATGCAGTAAGAAATATTAGGCACATAAAAAGGTTTCTAAAGCCTCAATCGCACTGGATTAAATTTTGGGAATATGTAACTGTCATCACGGTAAACATTTCTAGGGTAAATGTTACCGTCAATCGCACTTGGACTTTTCAACTCGGTTAGTTTTTCCGAGTTAATGTAAAATTAACTATTGAGGGCGGTACATTTTGACCCGTAACATGACCTGTACTGATCTGTTTCTGTTCCTTCGACTGACTAGGCCAACATCATGAGAGCCTAGAATTTATCCTTCCGATATTTCAGGCCTAGCGTGGCCTAAAAAATCAAGAAAAATGTCATTCCATGCCATACTACGATTTAAGGGAAAGTAACACGTTAGAAAATAATGGTTTGTGATCAACTAGTCGAATAGTACGATATTCGTACGATCAATACAGCACAGTAGTATAAAATTTGCGCGAAAATCGAAATATACATCAATAAACCAAAACAATGAAAAGAAGCAGGTCAACTAATTATAGGCATGTGCCAGTGCTTCACAGAGCGATAAAGGTACCCAATGAACAATGAGGCTCGGGATTTGGTTAATTTAACCGACCTGTGGCTGTTCGCATTGGATTTTCCAGGCCGGTCAAAGTAACTCGGTAGGAACTCCTGAGTAAATTTCACTCCCGAAAACTGACCGGCGGCGACAGTCAGGTTAACTGAGCGGGACTATCCGCACTGGATTTTTTCGGTCAAACTTACCGACAAGACGGTTACTTTTACTGAAATAGATCCAGTGCGATTGAGGCTTTAGTTTTCTCTAATCTTGAGTTTAATAGTCTTTATATGTCATTGGATATTTCATGCTATATTTTGCTGATGGTTGTTCTTTTTGTGCACTTGAGACAATTTCTTATGTGCTTTACAAGTATATCGCCATTACCATTACGGTACTATGTCGTATATTTTATCTATTAAAGGTATAGAAGGGCGTAAGTCTGACACAAAGATAATAAGTATAATGATTCGGGAAATGAAAATAGGGTACACAGTTGGTACAAACATGTCTATGATGCTCAACCTAATCAGCCAGTTGGCCCATTTCCCTGCTTACCGATGTTAAATAATATTTATTATCATTTTCCTGAGAACCAATAGTTCATGTCACTAAACTGGGTCTACATTGTTGTAGATTAACTTTCTGTTTATTCAAATTCTAGATGCCATCTGCAAGGGTGACATCTGTGCCACCTCGGTTCAATGGTGCCACCGACTTTGAATCCTACTACAATAATCTCTGTGCACTGCAAGAAACTGTGCCTGTACAGTCAGTAAAAGCCCATCTAAAAGAGGGCGCCCTTGATATTAATGCAGATCGTATCCGACTTCCAGACTGGGGGCCAATTTTAAACTCTGTTCGCATCAACAAAAGTTTGTCGTTTATTGGGATCCGAAGTTACTTCCAGCAAACAAAAGATGGTGGTAAGCAACTTTGTTATTTTTTATTTTTTTGGTAATCAATTAAGGATATTTGTTAGTAAAGCGTTACTTACTTGCAATGACTTACAACTTATAATGTACAGACAGATATTCTCTCATTGATACTCTATAATTTAGGTTTTACACGCGTCCCAAATAGCCTAATGCTTTCTACCTTTAAAGTTGTTGATACATGTTGTCAGTTTATTGCATTCATATAAAGCTTTAAATAAGAACAGTTTATCAGATTACAATAAAGAGTATTATTTGAAAAATTTTATATTTATGATGGTGTATTTTGTCTCATGAGATGATGTATTAGGTAAGCAGGGTGTGAGACGGCGCCCTCCTGCTGTACGTTCTAAGGAAGTGGTTAATCGTGTGTGTTTAGCCTTGAAGGAGTGTTTGTTGAATAGCAGTAACTTACAATACCTTGAAGTGCAGGGTTTGCCACTCAAAGAAAAAGACATCACCAATTTAGCAAAGGTAAGTTCTACACTTTCTATTAGTATTATATGCTACTATTGGGTTCTGTTTATTTCGTATGAGTATATAAATACTCATACAATTTCAAAAATTATTTTTGCATTATAGGGTTTATCACGGGCTTCAGCCTTGGAACATCTATCGCTAGAAGGTTGCCGACTCGGTAACAAAGCCATCTCTGTGCTGTGTCACAACATCCGTAACTGCCTGTCATTAGTCTCTTTGAATCTGACAGGATGCGGGTTGACAAGCACTGCTGCCCAGTCCATTGCTAAAGTTGTTAAGGTTAGATGATTCAATTTTATACTGTTTAATTCATCAATGATAATAAATCCACAGTTTACTAGAATGCTTCATCTATAGGTAGCTTCACTCCCTGACCCTCAAAGAGTTTCTTCTCGGGCACCTAGGTTCCCCTTAATTTTTTGCTCTCATAATAAGTCCAGGTTACAAGCCTAAATAATGTCAATTTTGTATAGCACCAAACCAGCAACATGCACTCAAATGTTATCAACGAATTTGACCTCCATCAAGTAGCTTTCAAATAAATGTGTTTTGTGTTATGATTTAAATATTGATAAAAATGAAGTGGAATGAATGGATTGTGGAAGGTCATTCCAGATCTTCGGAGCAGTAGTGGAAAAAGCTCTCTGACCCCCACTGATTGTTCGTTCGTTGTTTTCAAAGAAGAAGTTAGATCTCAGACAATAAGAATATCATTTGTATTAGCTTTTAGTATATTTCCAATGCTATATTTGGATCTTATGGTTGAAGCATATAAATTAATCTTGAATTCTACGTACTGTAGCACCAATCTACCAGACGTCACAGTGAAGCATGGAAAGAAAGCTTACGCTACCGTCGTCCAGATTTGGATCGAATGGCAGGCATCCGTAGAATTACTCTCAACTCCAATCCACTGTTGAATGACGAGGGGGCTTCTGCATTAGCTGATGCCATTCGAGATGACCTTTGGTTGAAAGGTATGTGACAATTAATATTAATAGCTTTAGTGATTTGTTCTACAGTCTGCGTAATTACTTAGCAAAAAAAATATGACTTGATTCACTGATTGGTCAGAATATTTTAGTTGCCTGACAATTTTTGGAAATAGATGCTTCTATGCTAAACAAGACATTGTTCTGTTTTTGGTCCAGGGTGTTTCACCATGTAGAATATAGGCAGGTTATATTGTTTCAGCTGCTGTTGCAGGTCGCTGTCACATTTAATATGTAAACGTATCCATGCCACAAATTATGCCTTTATTTTCTCATAGTGAATGGAGTTGTCGACATTATTTACTTTTCCAGGTTTTTATACCGTAATTTATTTTAAGCTATGTTCACATCAAAGCCCGGATCCGGTCCGGTGCCCGGACAAAAAAACCTTTTAAAAAAATGGGTTCAGTGATAAAGAATAGGACCGTTCACATCAAATTCGTACGATTTCAAATCCGGACCGCTGGATCTGAAAGCCATTTGTATCGTGAAATCGTACGTTTTTTTTCTCTTGGACCAATCAGCAACAAGCTTGGCTGGTTCAAACCAATTGAACGCATACGTACTTAACCCGAATAACCGTGTTCCGTGCGCAATGTGAACGCAGCGTTCAAAAAACGTAGCAACTCACGATTTTTTGTCTGGGCTCCGAACCGGATCCGGGCTTGATGTGAACGTAGCTTTAAAGTAAACGGAAGCAATGTGCAATATAATAAATGTAATTACTCATTATTAAGATGAAGTTTAAATGTATATTTTCTTCGTTTAAAGCCTTAGATATGCAGCACTGTGGACTGTCCAATACTGGCGCACAGGTGCTGCTTAGTGCTTTACATGAGAACTCAACCATCGTAGTCCTAGACGTAAGAAACAATGCACTTGTAGGTATGTAATCATTACAATGTTCGGAGCCAACGGCCAAACCATGCTTAGTTTAAGGAGTAGGATTAGTTAAGTATCATTCTATTTGTATTATTTATTATTTATTATAAGCGCATAGAGGTCTCTATGATATGCGCTCTATAATTCGACCATTATTATTATTATTATTTAAATAAATCAGCTTAGGGGTCATCCTAATTTATCTTATATCTGTCTTGATTTTTCTTATTTACAATGCAGATTCACTGTCTGTTCTATACATTATACAGGAAGAAATTAATAATAATTCCATAATAAATATTGTATTTTAATATTAAATATAGTTACATATTTAACATGCTTTATTGGTGTTGCACAGATCGTGAGATGGTGAAAGCAGTAATTGAACAGGTGATGATAAATGGAGGTGGACATGAATCAGAGGTAAGAAGATCCAAACATACTTGTAAATGTTATCGTATCATATAGCTTATCACCTAGAACATAAGATTCAGTAATGATGAAAGCCTGTCAAATAAAAAATACGTACTGATTCTGTATTTGTTAATTTTAGATAGGCCTGCATATATAAATATGCCCAAAGTACTTATATAATGTTTCAAAATAGCACACGTTCCTGGGTCCAAATCCTTTTATACTGTAATTTTTAAGCCGGACTTAAAACAGACTTTGTTTACAGAGCATCATTAAATCTTTTCTGCAAGCTATTAGGTGTAATTTATTTATGATTTTATTTATGTAAATTTATATATTGAACTCTAAATTATTTTGTGTACGCAACACAAGTTATATGCTGTACTTGAAAGAAACTTGGTTTAAAAGGGAACATAATTTTTGTTGATTTGATATTAAATCCCAGACAGTGCATATTTAATTACTTTAACTTTTAAATAAAAGTCTGCTGGGTACCTTCACTGTTTTCAGTACAAATGGTTACGAAGTAGAGAATCTACTGAAAAAACTACCAGGAGAAAAGTTAAGTATGCCTCAAAAATTGTGGATAAAAAGTCATCAAAACCGACTACTACAGGTCGTGGAAGTAGGTCACGAATGCGATCCAAATCAGCTGATGGTAGACTGGCTGGTAAGAAGGAAGTGCCTACCGTCAGGCGGCCAGGACCAGGCTTTGTACCGTGGCGTACAGCAGCTAGAGCTGTTTCTAGGTACTTAACTTTCTATAGTCTTTCAGGTACTACGTAATTTAAGTATCGAATCTGTGTCAAATAATCCCAGGTAGTACACTACCTGTTTGGTATTACTGTGTATTTTATACCGGATTATTACTATTACCTTGTACTTCACTACCTATGTGGTACTACTAGGTAATGTATAGTATTTGGTATTACTAGGTACTGCACTACCTGTTTGGTATTGACTGGTACTGTAATCCCATTTGGTATTTACTAGGTACTGTACAACCTGTTTGGTATTGACTGGTACTGTAATCCCATTTGGTATTTACTAGGTACTGTACAACCTGTTTGGTATTACTGGATACTCTATTACCTGATTGGTATTGCTTGGCACTGTACTACCTGTTCAGTGTACAGGGTACTGCTGCCAAATGTTAACTAAATAACAGTTGACTTGGGACTTTTTACTAAAAAACATACATGCATTCATTAAAAGTAATCATATAAAACTTAAGAATAGTAGATAAAATAAATAAATTTTCAATACATGAATGTAATTTCTCATAAAAAAATATTTTTGAACATTTGTTCATAGAGGTGCATCAGTTGAACGTGAGAAAACTGATTCCAGTTTATGCACGCCTACCAAAGATTCTGAAGGTGTTCACTTCCATATGACAACCACATCAACACCAACAGACACAGATACCACTGTTAAGGACACTAGCTCACCTCCACCTGAAAAACACTACAACTCCACAAGCAAGTGGAAGGAGAAAACGAGAGAAGAAAAGAGAAAAGAAGAGAAGGAACTCAGGGTGAGAACTGTTGTGTAGTTTATATTGCATTCCTATGTATGGACCTTGCATTTAACAGCTTGCTTGTTCACAATGGTTTATTTCTAGATTATAATAATTACGTACTTGTTTTTTAAAATCTTGTGAACAATCTATATAAGAATGCGTACTGATTGCCACCTATCTAAAGGACAGTGACAGTCACTATTGCTAATTCTTGGCCATATGTCTAAAGGAATGAAAAAAAAAAATAACGATTATATTTCTGTAGTTGATTAATACCATGATGGTCTTCAAGGCCTAGCAGTATGTTGCTGCCTTTAAAACAATAGTAATCTTGAGCCTATCAGTGATGCTGTAACTTTTTATCGCTGTTCATCTACTTTCAAAACTTTCAAAAAGGTGTGTTCCTGTCATTTGTAGGTTGAGTTGGAAGAAATCCGTCGGCGCCACTATGTTGAGAGCCAGGCTCATCGTGCAGCTGATGCTCATGTTGTTGAGGTAATGAGCTTTTTTATAAATATAAGATAAATGTGTGGAAGTATAAGCATAATTGCTGTTTATATACTTTATATATTCAAGGTTTATTCAGACATCAAAATTGCACATGGCAGCTAATGAATGGCTGAATTGAAACAATTGTACAAATCATATATCAAAGAACATCAGAATTTTAAAAAACAGTATATAAAATGCATATATATTTTTACAGTTTTATTAAACAACATTTTAACCTGATGTACAATTTTCGCAGCATTCTATCCCCACTCTTAGTTTCCACTATATCTTAACCTCTAATCCTCTCAGAACACACCATTCAAACTAAATCTTGTCAGCTCCCCAACATCTTCACCCCATCTTTTAGTACTCACAGCACACCCACCCTGATTTTTTTGTGGAGCATACATATTTTGTATATTCCTGTTATTTGATATTATGTCATTGATTAATTTTCAACAGCTTGAGGTTGAAAACAGTCGTTTACGTCATGAGATCCAGATGCTACAAGCAAGAGGTGCTTCATCACCATTCAAGAAGCAGGATGATCAACGACCTGATAGCATCGCAGGGGATCTTGATGAAGGAGTATTAGACAGCATTGAAGAATCCTTTAGGAAATTCCATGCTTTCCTTGACTTATTAAGAGATGCAGGGTGAGTGACAAACATTGTAAAGCAAGAAAAAAGAAATCATTCCCTAAGCCTTACAAATCAATCAATATCAATCAATCTATCAATCATTTCATTCAAAGAGATTTGGTTGTATAAACACCTATTGTTTCTACTGAATAAGTAAAATAAATCAGTGATGCATAAACAATAAATTAATAAAAACTCATAAACAACATCATTAACCCATAATAATGTAATTATGGTTATGAATAAGGTAATTAATTACAGTTAGTAGTAGTAGTTAGTTAGTACATAATTTTTGTAATGCATGCTGGTAAAACAGATAGTCTGTTTTCTGTTACTGAGTAGCTGTCATAATTGTATATGAATGATCAATTGTTCCCTTGTTGGCTTTTGCAGATTGGGGCAACTGTGTACTCTGATTGGCATATCTCCAGGCGACATAAAAAATCCTTCTGTGTTATCTATTCTGCGTGACCATCAACCAACACCTGTGAACAAGACTGTAGCAGTACCTCACCTACAAGAGCATGCAAGACCTTTTCAAGATGTGGGATTCCATGATGTGGGCACTAAGCCGGTTGACACTATGCCTCCATCACAACATGTTACAACCCATCCCATGCCTTACAGTAGTTCAATACCAGCACAATCACAGCCACAAAGTGCTATTGGTGCTCAGCAGTATATAGCACAACCACTACACCCACCACCAGGAGGTTATGCCCCACCACCAGCAGGCTGGGTAGTACCACCAGTAGGTTGGGCAGTACCACCAGCAGGATGGGTGCCACAACCAACAGGGTTTGTACCAACTCATAGTGCCCCAAATGGAATCCATTATACACAATCATCATCTGTGAGCTACAAACATCAGGTGCCCCCTCAAAGCCAAGGCATAATGTACCCTCCACAAAGTCAGATGCTGTACCCTTCCATGACATCACAAGTAGGGCATAAATTTGAAAATAATCCTTCTGAACTGCCGGGAAACGTTGGCCAGATTCACATCACTGGTGCACAAACCCAGGATGTGTTAGATCATGTGGGCATTGATCGCTTCAGAGATAGTCAAAGTCCAGAGGGACAACAAGGATCTGAGGCACAAAGGTTTCAGAATATTTTAGAAAGTGGTGTTGCAACTATGCCTAAAGCACCTTACACAGATGGCAGTAATCTCCAGCAGAAGGTAGATGCAAATGGATCCATTTTCAAGCAAACAGAAACCAATGGCTTACTAACTGGACCTCCTGTAGCTAATGAAATCACTGATAAAAATGGGAAGTTAGATGAACCAGATTCTTTAGCATTACAAGGAGAGGAGCTTGTTATTCAAGGAGGAAAAATTAATAGAAATGTGATAGAAGAGGACACTAAAGACACTGCTGATGTTAATAGGAGTGATAAAATATCCCATGGACCCAGAGGCGATGCTAATTCACCTCCAAATAACTTTCATTTGTCTCCATCTCCTGATAGGACATCACCGGCACCCTCTCCAGAGAGGGCACCCTCTCCAGAGAGGACACCCTCCCCGGCCTATAGTGATAGTTGGGCATCTGGTAGCTCTGAACATTCTAGCAAACACTCCAGGCAAAGTACAAGTTCCAGGGAGAGAAAAAGTGACGATGAATATGTAAAAGGTGTGGAGAAATCTGGAAAAAAGATTATGGATGCAGCAAGTGACCGGTCATCACCTCCAGATATTGTTGAGGAACTCTTGGATTATAGTTCGGATAATGAATTTTGAACCCAACAGTACAGTATACTGAATGAAAGTACTATACTTTACAATAGACTTTGGTTCAATTTTAGCATTCCAAACGTATTTTTACACATTTCCAAAACAAAGATTTCTTTAGTCTTTGTTGTAATTTATTTATGCAATGTACATTTTCGAGATTGATATTTTAAAAGATTTTGAATAAAATAATTTGTTTTCTGTAACTTGTCTTATTGTCATGAATGTTTGTCTCAATACAATATATATTTGCTGTGTAGCACTAAACATTTATACCGTAAAACTTTTAATAATCCTGGGTTACTATTTTTTATTGTTTCTCAATACATCAAGGAGTAAATTCAAAAAAGGATCATTAACAGCGCCATCACATTGTGAAATGCCTATTTTAAGGAATAAATCCTGTTTATGCGACAAAAATATTGATTTTAATGTCATTTTGTTTATACTTTTGGTGACTTTAATAGTGACTCCATGGGAGTAGTGGGTTATTATGAATTAACTTGGGTCACTATTAGAAGGGGGTTACTAATAGAGTACAGTAATGGGTGTTTTTTTTTTATAGAAGTTTTACAGTCAATATAAAAAATACAGTGCTCAAATAGAGGGATTACTGTAATGATAGTACAGTATGTATAAACATTTTATCCTTTGTAAACAGTAACAGTTAAACAAACAGTTCTGTATAGGATGTGTGGAAGAATGTCTCCGGTGGAATTTGCTATCAAGCCAAATATCATGTCTACACCATTAATTTGCAGAAATTTTCCAGCTAAGTAGGGCCTACTTTTCAATAGATACCTATTTACAGGCCTAGGTATTCTTAACTGAACAAATGTTTTATGATTGCTCAACTGCTTTACGCCCTCATAAAGTGGGGTTGTATTAAAGCATGAAAGAAATACCAGCTAGTCGCAGCTATATATATATATATATATAT